TTTCTAGAATTTTCGGTGCCAAAAATATTTTAGACTCCCAGAATATCAATATTCCCACAAAATGTTCCTTAAACTCGCTGAATTTTTGGTTCCCAAGAAAAAAAATTTTCTGAAAAATTGCGAGGCCTTTTGGTCTTTGCTTTAAAAAATTCTGGTTGGGTGAGCTTTGGATTTTTTACGAAACTTTACGATTTAAAAAAAGTAAATCTTTCAAATCTTTATTTATTAATTCTGGAACTCCTCGCATTTCCAAAACAATTTAAATTTCCGAAATCCAAGACCTGGTATCCGAGTTATAAAGAATTTAGGTAATGGTACCCCAGATCGAATAAGTGTTACTAATTATTGGGTCTGCACAAAATCTCATATAACTTTGGGACCATGCAAGCGATTTAAAAAAATAAAATGGCTTATGAAAGCTAAGACATGTGACTTTCTTTTCAAAATAAGTTAAAGATAGAAGGAAATGGTTAAACTGCTAGAAAAAATATTGAAAATAGAATTTATAATTTAAAAATAATTCGTCATGTTCAGAATTGTTTTATCCTCAATGAAATTCTGTTAAGTAAGAAATTCTCGTTTGGTGGGCTTTGGATTTTTTTCGAAACCGTACGATTAAAAAAGTTAATTCTTCTTATCTAATAGTTCTCGAAGTCCCCAGATTACTAAAACAATTTAAATTTCCGAATTCCAAGCCCGGGTGTCCGAGTTATAAAGCATTTAAAATATGATACCCTAGAGCGTATACGTGTTATTAATTATTGAGTCTATGCACAAATCTAATATAACTTTGGGACCATGTAAGCGATTTGAAAAAAGAAAATTGCTTATGATAGCTAAGACTTGTTGCTCTCTTTTCAAAATAAGTTAGAGATAGAAGGAAATGATTAAACTGCTAGAAAAAATATTGAAAATAGAATTTATAATTTAAAAATAATTCGTCATGTTCAGAATTGTCTTATCCTCAATGAAATTCTGCTTTAAATTACAAAATTTTTTTTGGCGCCAAAAAAAAACTATTTTTTAGCTGCCCAAATATATTGATCTTTTAAAAAAAAAATGTTCTCAAAACTAGATGAATTTTTTTGAGAAAAAAGAACTCATCGAGAGATTTTGGAACCTAAAACAAATTTTCTCAAAATAAATCCAAGCCTAGAAATGCCTGAAAAAAAAAAAATAAAAATGCCGAAAAAATTAAAAAAATGTTGCAAATTCATCTCTTAAATGAGTTTTTAAAATCGGTACACCGTTGCGTATGATTATTATTAATTATTGGAGGAAAAAATTTTAAAACTTTAGGCTTGGTGATGTTTTTATAACTTGGACAAATAATCTTAAGATATTTATGCTGTTTCCATTTCTTGAAAATTTGTTCCATAGAAATTCATGCACTAGAGAAAAATATTCCTAAGAAATTACATAATTTTTTATATTCTCATTAACAAATGATCCTCTGCACATTCAGAAACTATTTTTATTTTCAAAATCCAAGCCAAAGTTTTCGAGTTATGTGCATTTTAAAATGATGTGCATTAGAGCGTATGATTGTTATTAATTATTGAGTTGTTTCGCCAAATCCCACGTAATCTCAGAACTATTCGGCTTATTTTAAAAAATTTAATATTTTTTGATAGCTAAGGATTGGGTCTTCATTTTCGAGAAATAAACATTTTGTATTACCCTGAGGAATATGGTGTAAAATTATTTGAAAACTAGAGAACTTTTTTCTAGACTTTTCATTTTTTTTTCAAGCTGCAGTTTTTTCTTAAAGGTAGACCTCTCCGCTTTCTAAAACTGTTTTCATAATCCAAACCAAAGTTTTCGAGTTATGTGCCTTTTTAAATGATGTGTATTAGAGCGTATGATTGTTATTAATTATTGGGTTGTTTCACGAAAACCCATGTGAATCTAGAACTGTTCAGCTTAGTGGGAAATATTAAATATGTTTTTAAAGCTAAGATTTGAGTCTCTTTATTTCCAAAAAAAAAAAAAAAAAAAAAAAAATTGTCCTGCGGGAAAACGGTGTAAACTGAATACTTTTTTTTAATTAAAAAACTATTTAAATTTTTGTTTTATTTTTATTACTTTTTTTTAAAAGGTAGACTCTCCCGCTTTCTGAAAACATTTTTATTTTCAAAATCCAAGCCATAGTAGCCGAGTTATGTGCTTTTTAAAATTATGTGCATTAGAGCGTATGATTGTTATTAATTATTGGGTGGTTTTACAAAAACCCATGAAACTCTGGAACTATTTGACAGATTTTTAATTTAGAAATATTTTTGAAAGCTTACATTTCGGGTTTTGCTTTCCATAGCTAAAAATTCTGTACCACACTGCTTAAACGTGTGAAAAAATAAAATGAAAATAACTTTTTAATGAAACAGTTTTTTTTTTAAAGCCAAAGCCAACTTCAGAAATTAAAGGGTTATTTTTTGGGAGGACAAATCTGTTGAAATTCGTATGAATTTTTAACTGAAGCAATTAACTGCCAAAATAAAAATAGTATAAAAATAAAATTAAATAAAAATTGCAAAAATTTTTATTTTTTAATTTTTTTATATTTTTAATAGAAAGGTTGACCTCTCCACTTTCTGAAACTATTTTTATTTTCAAAGCCCAAGCCATATTGGCTGAGCTATGTGTATTTCAAAATAAGGTACATTGCAGCGTATGATTGTTATCAATTACTGGGTTGTTGTACAAAAACTCATGTAACTCCGGAGCTATTTGACCGATTTTTAATTCAGAGCTATTTGTTGAAAGCCTACATTTAGGGCTTTGCTTTCCATAGCTAAAAATTCTGTACCACACTGCATAAACATCTGAAAAAATATAGTTTAAATCATAATAATTTTTAATGAAACATTTTTTTCTAATAAAATCCAATGAACTTTTCTACTTCCGGAATTAAAGGCTTTTTTTGGGAGGCTGAATCTGTTGAAATTCGTATGAATGTTTATCTGAAGCAATTAACTGGTAAAATAAAAGATAGTGAAAAAGTTACAAAAAAAAAAAATAATAATAAATAAACGAAAATAAAGTTAAATATAAGTTGCAAATTTTTGATTTTTCTTTCAATTTTTTAATAGAAAGGTGGGCCTCGCCGCTTTCTGAAACTATTTTTATTTTCAAAATCCATGCAATTGTGGCCGAGTTGTGCGTTTTTTAAAATAAGGTGCTGTAGTGCGTATGACTGTTATTAATTATTGGGTTGTTTTACAAAAATCAATGTAACTTCGTAATTATTTGGCCGATTTTGAAATTAGAAAAATAGCTAACATATGGGACTTTACTTTCGCAAAACAAAAACTCAGAAATACCTCGTTAGAAAATGTTGAAAATCACTTGGAAACAGAAAAAAATAATATTTTATATTTTTTTAGACTTGTACACCCCCCAAAATTATTGGTAATTATAAAATGCTGGTCTCCTAGATACAATTGAAAGGTAGAACTTTCCGCTTACTGAAACTATTTTTTTTCAAAATCCATGCAATTATGTCTGAGCTATGTGCATTTCAAAATAAGGTACATTACAGCGTATGACTGTTATTAATTATTGGGTTGTTTTACTAAAATCCATGTAAATTTCTAAGTATTTGGCCGATTTTGAATTTAGAAATAATTTTTGAAAGCTAAGATATGGGGCTTTACCTTCGGAAAACAAAAATTCCAAGCTTCCCTTTTGCAAAATGGTAAAAAAATTATTTGAAAATAGAAAAAAAATAATATTTTTTATTTTTTAGACTTTTAAGCCTCCCAAAATTGTTAGTAATTATAAAATGCTGGTCTCGTAGAAACAATTCCTCAAAACTTGCGGAAGGAGGTGACTTTTAAAAAAGTCTGAGGGTCATAAATAATGTCAAATAATTGTGATAATACTTTGATGTTAAAGAATAACTGAAAAGTTTAAATTTTCATACAAAACACTTGCCATAAATTCGTCGTCTTTTTTTCACAGTTATGCTATGTTATCTTCACTTTTTTGTTAAATTAAGTGGCACTAGTTAGTATTAAGTTCACATTCATTCATATGCCATGTTCATACGCACATACCCACGCGCCAACAGCGTGGTTTATAAAATGTATATATATATATATCATGGTTGTTGTTCCACGCACGCATTCTATGCCATTGAACAGTTATTTGCAGAACGTGCAACAAAACAACAAAATGAGTTAAAAAAAAAAATAACAACAAAATTCTAATGCCTGTGTGTGTCGGAAAATCGCATAAAAATCACGTTACCACACATTCTGTCACAAAAAAAGAAAAGGCGACAAAGATAAGAATACAACTACATAAGGATATTGAAAATAAATTGATGCGATGGCAGATTAGGAGAGCTTTAAAAAAATATTGGCATTTTATTTTGAATAACTTCAGGTTCCTGCTTTTTCTTGCTAAACCATAATTACTTGCCCTCTTTTTGAAATTTTAAAAATTTTCTTACAGAAATCAAGTGCATCGAAAAGAAACCAAAAATAAATAAATAAATAATAATAATAATAATAATAATCTTGTCCAATCAGTTCAACAAAAGTTCCCGGCCCAAAAGTTCCATAGCCCAGAAATGTTCCATACAAATGCTGAAGTCCAAATTTAGCCTTCCATACATTTCACGTGCCTGGCTAGATAAGAAAAAAACCAACAACAAACAAACATCTTTTCCCAAAAATTTTCCCTTCGCTCGCTCTTAATTTTACGCTGGAAACGAAATATTTCTTCGAATTATCTGCATGAGTTCGTGCGTGGGCGTTAGTAAGTCTAAAGGCGGGCAACGTGCCCGCAACGTGTCTCTATTTGTCGCCAACATTCAGGTGTAACCGCTTCGTGTCGTGTCGCGTTTTTCGTGTCCGCCTTGGAAAATTTACCATTTTGTGTTTTGTCGAGCTATTGGAAGATTTGCCTTCGAAAAGTTTTCATTTATTTTGCTGCTGCTGTTGCCGCTTTAACTTCTCACAACTTACATTACCTGTTGGCCTTCCTCGTCTGGTGCAATGCAATCGAACACCAGTCGTGCCACACTGAGCGCACAATCATCGGGCACACCATCGGCTTCAACGATATCATCATCTGGCAAGGTAAGAAAGTTGTACCAAAAATTAAATTAAATACAAATATTATTATAAAAAAGATTGATGTAATAAGTTGTTGTAAATATTTTCAATAATTCAAAAAGCTTCTCAGCTTTCTGAAACTATTTTAATTTTCAAAATCGAAGCCATAGAGTCCGAGTTATGTGTATTTTTAAATATCGTACATTAGAGCGTATGATTGTTATTAATTATTGGGTGATTTTATAAAAATCCCTATAACTTCGAAAATATTTAACCAATTTTGAATTAAAAAATCTTTTTGAAAAGCTTAGACAACAAGTTTTTTATGAAAAATGTGAAAATCTTATGCCCCTTAGCTTAAACGTGTGGGAAAATCAGTAGTAAACCGGAAAATATTTTTTTAGATTTTTTTTTAAAATAAGTAATATTCTCCACTTCACCAATTATTGAGTGTTCATTCTTTAGAAGGGAAATCAGTCAATATTCGAATAGGCCTTTAACTGAAACAATTTCCTGAGAAAGTAAAAAAATGAAAAATCGCAAAAAGAAATTAACAAAAAATTTAAAGTTTCTAAAAAAGAAAAAATTCGGAAAACTAAAAGCATTTTATTTTTAAACAAATAAACCTTTCCGCTTTCTGAAACTATTTTACTTTTCAAAATCCATGGCATAGTGGCTGAGTTATGTGGATTTTAAAATATCGTACATTAGAGCGTATGATTGTTATTAATTATTGGGTTGCCTCACAAAAACTCCCATAACTTCGAAAATATTTCACCGATTTTGAATTGAAAAATCTTTTTGAAAAGCTTAGACGACAATCTTTTTATGAAAAATGTAAAAATCTCATTTTCCTTTCCTTAAACGTGCGGAAAAATTAGTTGAAAACCCGAATATATTTCTTTAGATTTTTTTTAACCAAGTACTATTCTCCACTTCACCAATTATTGAGTGTTCTTTCTTTAGATGGGAAATCAGTTAAAATTCGAATGGGCCTGGAAAACTAAGAAAAATTTTAAAAATCCTGAAATAAAAAAAAAACGAAAAATTAAATATTTCAAAAAAATGGAATATTTAAAATATATTATTTTTTAACTAATAAACCTCTTCGGTTTCTGAAATGATTTTAATTTTCGAAATCCCAGCCATAGTGCCCGATTCATGTGGATGTTAAAATATGGTGCGTGTGATTGCTGTTATTAATTATAGAATTGTTTCACGAAAACCCTTATAACTTCGGAACTATTTGACCGATTTTAAATTTAAAACGATTTTTTGAAAGCTTGGTTTTTGGGCTTTTTCTAAGTGAAAAAAAGTTTTTTAATGCCTTGCCTTAATATCCAGAAAATCAATTGAATTTCAAATAAAACAAAATAAATTTACAAAATTATTAATTTTTTAAAAAACTTTACAGTTTAAATATATTTTACAGTTTCTAAATATTTTCCATACATCAATAAGCTTTTCAGCTTCCTGAAACTATTTTTATTTTCGAAATTCAAGCCATAGTATCCGAGTTATGTGGATTTTAAAATATGGTGCATTGGATCGTATGATTGTTATTAATTATTTGGTTGTTTCGCGAAAACTCTTGTAACTCCGGAATTATTTGACCGATTTTTAATTGCAATATAGTTTTTGTAAGCTTGGATTTGGGGCTTTATTTCAAGGAAAGGAAGAACCTTAAATGCTCTGTTTAAACATGTTCAAAAATTAGTTGAAAGTCGAATGAGTTTTTTGAAACAAAGTTAAAATTAAATTACAAAAATAACGGTTTCAAAAATTGAGGTAATTAAAATTTTTAAATATTTTTAATAAATCAGCAAGCTTTCCTGCTCTACGAAAATATTTGTAATTTCAAAATTCAAAAATTCATGCAATAGTCGCCGACCTATGTGCATTTTAAAATGGGGGTACATCACATCGTATGATTGTTATTAATTACTGGGTTGTTTTATGAAAACCTTCATGGTTTCGAATATATTTCTCCGATTTCGAAACAAAAAATATTTTTTGAAAGCTAAGACTTGGGACTTTATTTACGAAAAATAAAAATTCTGTAGTGTAATTTTAAGAAAGGTTGAAAAATTAGTTGAAATCAGCAGAAAATTTTATTAATTTCACAAAGTGTAAAAAATAGAAAAAAATAAAAACAAATACGAAAAAAGTCTTTATAAAAGTATCTAAAATAGGAATTGTTTTTTTTTATGATAAGGCAATCCACTCCGCCCTATGAAAATATTTTTGTTTTCAAAATCGAAGCAGTATTGACTCAGTTATGTGTATTTTAAAATGAGGTACATCACATCGTATGATTGTTATTAATTACTGACTTGTTTTACGAAAACCCCTATAACTTAGGAACCCTTTGACGGATTTTGAATTGCAGAATATATTTTTAAAGCTAGGACTTGGGGCTTTATTTCGGAAAAATAAAAATTTCGTAGTGTCCTTTGGAAAAATGTAGAAAACATTAGTTGAAGTCAGCAAAAATTTTAATTATTTGACAAAATGTAAAAAAGTAGAAAAAAATTTAAAACAAAAACAAAAAAAAAATCATAATAAAAAATTACTAAAATTAGAACAGAATCCGCCTTATGAAAATACTTTTGTTTTCAAAATCCAAGCGGTATTGACCGAGTTATGTGAATTTTAAAGTATGGTACATCACAGCGTATAATTGTTATTAATTGCTGACTTGTTTTACGAAAACTCTTATAACTTCGGTAATCAATGACCGATTTTGAATTACAAAATATCTTTTGAAAGCTAAGGCTTAGGGCTTTATTTTCGAAAAGTGAAAGTTTTGTAGTGTCCTTTTGCAAAAGGTTGAAAAATTAGTTGAAATCAGCACAAAAAATTATCAAGAAAAAAATTATTTGATATTTTAATTCTTTTGACCAAGGCCAAAAATTGCTAAAAGTGGATCTGCAATTTTTCAATTTTTTAATGAGAAGATAGTCCTCTCCGCCTCATGAAAATATTTTTGTTTTAAAAATCCAAGCAGTATTGGCCAAGTTATGTGCATTTTAAAGTATGGTACATCACAGCGTATGATTGTTATTAATTATTGAGTTGTTTCACCAAAACCAATATAACTCCGGAACCCTTTGACGGATTTTGAATTGCAAAATAGTTTTTGAAAGCTAAGACTTGGGGCTTTTTTTTTGAAAAATAAAAATTTTGTAGTGTCCTTTTGAAAAAGGAAGAAAAATTAGTTGAAGTCAGAAGAAAATTTTAATAATTTGACAAAATGTAAAAACGTAGAAAAAAAAAACAAATACAAAAAAAATCATAACAAAAGTGATTAAAATTAGAACAAAATCCGCCTTATATAAATATTTTTGTTTTCAAAATCCAAGCAGTATTGACCGAGTTATATGGATTTTAAAGTATGGTACCACACAGCGTATGATTGTTATTAATTACTGACTTGTTTTGTGAAAACCCTTATAACTTCGGTACTCAATGAATTGCAAAATATTTTTTGAATGCTAGGACTTAGGGCTTTTTTTCGAAAAATGAAAGTAGTGTAGTGTCCTTGTGCAAAAGGTTGAAAAATTAGTTGAAGTCAGCAGAAAATTCAAATCAAGAAAAAAATTATTTGATATTTTCAATTCTTTTGACCAAGGCCAAAAATTGCCAAAAGGGGAACTGCATTTTTTTAATTTTTTTATGAAAAGATAGTCTACTCCGCCATATGAAAATATTTCTATTTTCAAAATCCAAGCATTATTGACCGAGTTATGTGGATTTTAAGGTATGGTACATCACTGCGTATGATTGTTATTAATTATTGAGCTGTTTCACGAAAAGCCTAGTAACTTCTGAAACCTTTTACGGATTTTGAATTGCAAAATATTTTTTGAAAGCTTGGATTTAGGGCTTTACTTCAAGGAAAGGAAGAACCTTAAATGCTCTGTTTAAACATGTTCAGAAATTAGTTGAAAATTCATTTTTTGAAACAAATTTTAAATTAAATTTTAATAACAACGGTTTTATAAATTGAGATAATTACATTTGTATTAAATCAATTACCTTTTCCGCTCTACGAAAATATTATTATTTCCAAAATTCAAGCAATATTCGCCGAGCTATGTGAATTTTCAAATGTTGTACATCACAGCGTAAGATTTTTATTAATTACTGGGTTGTTTTACGAAAACCTTCATAGCTTCGAATATTTTTCTCCGATTTCGAAACAGAAAACATTTTTTAAAAGCTAAGACTTGGGGCTTTATTTGCGAAAAATAAAAATTCTGTAGTGTAATTTTGAGAAAGGTTGAACAATTAGTTGAAATCAGCAGAAAATTTTAATAATTTGACAAAATATAAAAAATAGAGAAAAAATAACAACAAATAAGAAAATCGTAATAAAGGTTACAAAAATTGAAACTGCAATTCTTTATGAGATGGATGTTCTCTTCGCCTCATGAAAATATTTTTGTTTTAAAAATCCAAACAGTATTGACAGAGTTATGTGGATTTTAAAGTATGGTATATCACAGCGTATGATTTTTATTAATTATTGAACTGTTTCACGAAAACCCTTATAACTTCCGAACCCTTTGACGGATTTTGAATTGCAAAATATTTTTCGAAAGCTATTTTTCGAAGACTAGGACTTACAAAAGGTTGAAAAATTAGCTGAAATATGCAGAAAATTCTATCAAGAAAAAAATTATTTTATATTTTTAGTTCCTTTTGACCGAGGCCAAAAATTGCTAAAAGTAGAACTGCAATTTTTCAATTTTTTAATGAGAAGATAGTCCTCTCCGCCTCATGAAAATATTTTTGTTTTCAAAATCCAAGCAGTATTAACCGAGTTATGTGGATTTTTAAGTATGATATATCACAGCGTATGATTGTTATTAATTATTGAGTTGTTTCACGAAAACCCTCGTTATTTCGGAACCCTTTGACGGATTTTGAATTGCAAAATGGTTTTTGAAAGCTTGTATATGGGGTTTCATTTCCGAAAAATAAAAATTTTGTGGTTCCCATTTTGGTTCCAATTTTTAATA